CTGAATTTTTTTCCTCGAAAAACACGTGTACAGGTGTTGAAAATAAATACATTTAAACTTGAAAAAAAAAACGAAACTCTATGAGTGATCTTGATGATAAATTGATTTATTTCCATATCAATTTTTAATTGGATACCATCAATAAATGTACGTTTTTTAATTTCCATAATTGTGCGTTAAAACTATATCAATTAAGAATGCAAGAAACTCAATTAAATACAATAGAGAGTAGACAAACAACCGTAGCATGGCTAGCTCACTTTTTATCCTAGAATTTAAAAAAGAAGTAAGTGTTCCGGTCATGGCAGACAGTTTTATGTCTTACAATAAGAAATTCCATGATGACATGAATCAATCGATTATAGAAATCAAGACATTTAGAAATAAAAGAAGTCATGAAAAAATGACATTCTTTTCTTGTAATCGTGGTTGGCTAAACTATTTACAGTAAACTTTTTTAGAGAAATAAGTATTAAAGTATCTATTTTTGTCAATTTCGTGAAAAGTTTGTATAATTTCCATAATTGATTTCTCCAAATAATTTTAGAATATCCGAAGAACTTATTCAATTACATTGAAAGAAAAAAACTTACTGTAAACGAGTGATATTTTTTTTTCAAATAATAAAATCAAAATTATGAATAATCACAAAAAAAAAATTTTTTTTCGGAATTAACATGGTAATATTTCTGATGATTACTTAAAATAATAAATAAACAATTTACTAAAAAAATACATTTTTATTGTGCCACATTTAATTAAATAGAATTATTTAATTGTTGGTTTATTCTGGTGTTTTATTGGATTAATTTTTTTTTCAAGATCCATGCTCTAAAAAAGTAAGAATTAATCTAATGTCACTAAAATTTAAACTGAGAAGAAAAGGTAGGATTATGGGTCACTTTTTGTTTTTACTCAATTACATTCTACTCTGTTGAATTATCACCAACTTTTTGGAGTTTCTGTTTCTTGCCAAGAAATTATTTTTTAATATATTTGTGGGTTAACTGATAGAAAACGTACTGAGCACTGTTTATATTAATTGAATAAGTATCTTAAAATAAAAATTTCGATTGTAGCCAGTAAAGAATAGTTGAAAAAATATACGACATTTCACGATCGATAAAGGAATGTCAATTATAGGTTGTCCAAGTAAGATTTTATACCCTGTTGACTGGCCACTACTATTTACGAGCCAATAAAACAAAGCGACAGTAAATGTGCTATGGGGTTGAAAGTTCAAAACCCCCATTCATTGATATTTATAAGGATATACTATTATTGATCATTGTCAGTATTATTACATAATGATATTTAATTTATTTCATAATTAGCACCTCAATATCTGTACATATTGTTTGCCAACTTGATTTTTTAACTATACTATAGCAACCTCACAATGGTACCAACTTTATAAAAAAAGTCGTATATTTAAGGCTGGGCTGTAGCAGAGAAGAGACACCAGTATAGAAGTTCAGTCCTTATGGGAGCTAAGAAATGTAGTTAGCATTTATAAAAATGACCGCAAGATGGCACGCCGACCCGGCATCTGTGGGGATGCCGTAAGGAAAAAGGGCGAACCACATAAGATTTATTTATTAATAAATTATAGCAAACAAAGATAATTTTTAGTTAGAAAACGTTACAATAGAAAGCGCGGTAAAAAGTCACTGAAACGCCATGTTACGTTACTGGCGGGATGAATATGTGATGGCCGGCTTGGAACTTGGCCGCCTGGCCGCAAGATGGGTTCCTTGAACCGGTCGGTGGAGCCGCCATGCGGCAAGTGGGCAAAGCCTCACGAGCTGCCGCAGTAGCCCCCCTTGAGTGACAGTTAATATTTTTAGCTGTCACGAATTGAACCCTTTTTTTAGCTGAATAGGTGCGTAGAGCTGTTGGACGCTGGATCACTGGAGAAGATGCCGGAGACACTGGAACAGATGCTGGAGTAGCTGCCGAAGACGTTGAAGGTGCCTGAGATGGAGTAGGCCCTGTTGGAGCGACTATGTCTGCGTTTTCAACAAAAGCTGGTTTCAATCTCTGTGTCGAAACTGTTGTAGGAACACCATTGATGTTTACTTCGAAAACGTAGTCTGAGATTCTGTTCAGTACCTCGTATGGACCATCGTAGGGTGGTTCAAGTGGTCGTTTGACTCTCTCGACTTTAACAAAAACATGAGTGCACGTATAAAGTGTTTTGTGTGCGAAAACTCGAGTCTTGATGTGATGTGCAGTAGGTACTGAGCGCACGTTTCTCATGATTTCCCTGAATTTTTCTACAAAAATTTGAGGTTCTGGACCTACTTCTTCGTCGATAAAATATTCTCCAGGAAGTCGAAGTGTTGTGCCATACAACATCTCAGCTGCAGTTGCTTTAATATCTTCTTTAACACTAGTACGTAGTCCTAAGAGAACAACTGGAAGAGTGCTAACCCAATCACTTGTAGCATGACACATTAAAGCAGATTTTAAAGATCGATGCCATCGTTCAATCATACCGTTTGAAGCAGGGTGATATGCAGTTGTTCGAGTGCGACTACATCCGATCAATTTTGTGAGAGCGTCAAAGAGTCTTGATTCGAATTGAGCGCCTCTATCACTCGTTATTGTTTCTGGTGCTCCAAAACGACTAACCCATCCAGAAAAGAAAGCATTTACTACGGTATCTGCTGTGACGTCTTTTAAAGGAATAGCTTCTGGCCAACGTGTAAATCTATCAATCATGGTAAGGCAGTATGAATAACCTTGACATAGTGGCATAGTGACTATATCGATGTGGACGTGTCTGAAACGTTCACTAGGAACTTCAATATGTTGTGGAATGTTTTTAACATGACGATGAATTTTGCTTCTTTGACACGGCATGCAGGTACGAGCCCATTCGATGATGTCACGGTTCATATAAGGCCAAACAAAATGCTGACTGATAAGCTTTTTTGTCGTTTTTCCACTTGGATGAGATAGGTTATGTGTGTTGTTAAAAATTTGTCTTCGTAGAACAGCTGGTATATATGGACGTATTTTGTCACCTGAAATATCACAATAAATCACTTTTCCAGATTTGTCAACTTGAAGTTGTCGTAGTTTCAGTGAAGTTGTTTTTGAATCTAATAGATGTTTGAGTTCGTCGTCTCCTTCTTGCTCAGATACGATATCTTCTGTAGAAACTATTGTCGGCATATCGATAGAATTGATTCTCGATAACGCGTCAGCAACTACATTCTCTTTACCTGGAACGTGAACGATCTTTGTTGTAAACTGACTAATATACTGTAGTTGTCGTTGTTGCCTAGGTGAAGCTTTGTCAGAATCTTGATTGAAAGCGAACGTTAGTGGTTTATGGTCAGTAACCACTGTAAAATCATGACCTTCGATCAGATGTTTGAAGAATTTGATACCTTTAAAGACTGCAAGAAGCTCACGATCATATGTGCTATAGTTGCGTTCAGTCTTTGTAAGTTTGCTTGTGTAAAACCCTAGAGGTTGTCTTACTCCATTGATAATTTGATCTAGAGCTGCGCCTACTGATTTGTCAGATGCGTCACAACGAAGTGTTAAACTTGCGTTATCAACTGGGTAAGCTAGCTGCACTGCATTTGCTAGGAGTTTTTTACATTCTTCAAAAGCATTTTCTGCCTCAGCATTCCATGAAACAGGTCGTTTGTCATTTTTCTTAGCACCAACTGTAAGGTCAATTAAAGGTGCGTGGACTTCTGAAGCTTTAGGCATGTTTAGACGATAAAAATTCCAGGAACCTAAAAATCTTCGAAGACTAGCGATGGTCTCAGGCTTGGGATACTTCAGGATTGCTTCGATTCGATTAGCAGGAGGTTTTATTCCATCCTTTGAGATAGCATAACCTAGATAAATAACTTCAGGCTGTGCAAAAACACACTTGTGGAGGTTAATCGATAGACCATGCTGCTGTAATTTGTCGAGAATTATTCGAATGTGTTTTAAATGTTCTTCTCGTGACTTTGAAGCGATGAGAATGTCATCAATATAGATATGACAAAAATCTAATCCACGAAGAATTGTATCCATAAGGCGTTGGAAAGTTTGAGCAGCGTTACGCAATCCAAATGTCATCACCTTGAACTCAAAAAGACCAAATGGTGTAATGACAGCGGTTTTAGGTCGATCTTCTGGTGCGACAGGTATTTGATAATACGCCCTATCCAGATCCAGAGTAGTAAAAATTTCACAATCTTGAAGTTGATGTGTAAAACCGCGTAGATGAGGTATTGGATAACGATCAGGAACAGTGATTTGATTTAGTCGTCGATAATCACCGCAGGCGCGCCAAGAACCAGTCTTCTTTTCAACAAGATGTAATGGACTTGACCAATCACCGTTTGATGGATAACACCAGCCTTGCTGCATCATGTATTCATACTCAGCTTTAGCTGCTTTGAGTTTTTCGCCAGCTAGACGACGAGCACGTTCATTAACTGGAGGACCACGAGTCGTAATGTAATGTTGAACTCCATGAAGTGGTGGTTTACAACCAGCTGGTTTTGTGACGTCAGGATAATCTTTTAAAACTTCGTAGAACGGATGCTCCTTGATGACAGAACAGATTGTTGGTTGTGTTGAACTACTAATTTTTGCAGGTAGAAAAAGTTTTGTCTGCGCGTCAATTAGTCGTTGATTTTTAAGATCAACCAGAAGGCCGTGATGTTTTATAAAGTCAGCACCTAGTATAGGGTGAGTAACATCAGCGATTGTAAATGGCCATAAGTAAGATCGTCGTAATCCAAGATCTAGTGTCATTGTTTTAGTACCAAAGGTGTTAATGGTAGAACCATTGGCTGCGAAGAGTTTGATTTTAGGTACTGGTGCAAAAATCTTACTTTTAATAATTACTTTACTCTTTGGCATGACTGAAATGTCAGAACCTGTATCGACTAGAAATCTAAGACCAGATTGTTTTTCTTGCACTTGTAGACGGGATGTTCGATTACCTTCAGAGATACCCGCTACCATCCCCGAAGGCTCTGTTAGTTTAAAGGCTGAGAATTACTCTTGAAGTTGCAGGGTTGACGGCATTTACGTGCCTTTTCTCCGAATCTACTGTGATAAAAACAAAATCCATCATTGTTGTTGTTACTTTGTTGTGAATTTCGTGATCTACTTCGGGATCTGGCTCGATCACGTCTTACGTAGCGGTTTAACTCATCAAAATTCTTGGTTAAAATTGCAATTTGTGTTGACAGATCTTCAGTATTCATTGGAGATGTTTTTGACTTTGAGGATGTTGATGCACATGCATTTCCGTTGTTATCTATCGCCAAGATGCTAGGTCGAGAAACTTCCATGATTTTATCAGCTTGGAGAGCGAGTTTTGATAGATCAACGACCTCACTGATAGCTAAGATGCCTCGTACATGCTCAGGAAGTTGTTCCAGGAAGAGTGTTCGAAGGATGTTATCACCAACTTCAGTTCCAGCTAGATTTCTCATCCGTTGCAGCATGTTTGATGGTTTGTCATCAGCAAATTCAGCTCCTCGCAAAATACGACGTAATTTAGACTCATTAGTTTCGTCGAACTGACTAATAAGACGTTCTTTTATGACTTCGTATTTACCTTGATCTGGAAGTCGTTCCATGATGTCGGAGATAAATGGTAGAGTCTCAGGATCGAGGTTGGTGATGACGTATTGGTATTTAGTCATATCCGAGGTGATACGTGCAAGACCAAACGCGGCTTCAACTTGTCCGAACCATAGCTTTGGACTTGATTTCCAAAATGGCGCAATTTTTGGTTTTCGAGTTTGAAAAATTTCAAGAGCTTGTTCTTGATTAAAAACAATGTTTCCTGCTTGCTCAGTCATGTTTGCTTCTCGGTTAGGTAAGACTGGAGAATTTGGGCTGTCCACTTGTACGTTTTGACGTTGTTGCTGTCGCACCGGTGAATGATCTATCACCATGTCAATCGAATAATCAGAATGTTCGGGTCACCAGTTATGTGGGGATGCCGTAAGGAAAAAGGGCGAACTACATAAGATTTATTTATAAACAAATAGTTATTTATTAATAATTATAGCAAACAAAGATAATTTTTAGTTAGAAAACGTTACAATAGAAAGCGCGGTAAAAAGTCACTGAAACGCCATGTTACGTTACTGGCGGGATGAATATGTGATGGCCGGCTTGGAACTTGGCCGCCTGGCCGCAAGATGGGTTCCTTGAACCGGTCGGTGGAGCCGCCATGCGGCAAGTGGGCAAAGCCTCACGAGCTGCCGCACATCTGTGGTCTTCTAGTAGGGTAGATAACACACAATGAATGGTCAAGTGATTAATACACACTAACTGTTTATTACAGTCTGCAAAATACGAATTATATATCAAAAGCAAAATAGGTTAGTCTTTCTCGTGCCACAGCTATGGCGGATCACGAAGGTGGCTTCTTAACCGTCTGATCACCTCGTCCAGCCGTTTGATTGGCCAGCTCGACTTCTGCTTGGAGTTTACTTCGTTGGCCCAAGGTCCGTAGATAGAGGGGATGGTGACCAAGTAAGGTCTTCGCACTCGTATCCCACATAAAATCCCCAAAATGGCCGACTTGAAAAGCAGCGGTAGAATGTGAGGTTATAAAATTGTTTATTATGAGAAAGAGTACTGTTAATTTAGAGTCATTGAACAATTTAAATCCTTTATTCAAAGAAAAAAATATATTTAAAAACAAAATTCATTTTGTGAATGTTAACAAATATGTTTAATATAAAATAGACATTATTTAAAAAGTAATACAACATTTAGGTCTATATAATATATAAAGTGTAACTCACAAAATGAAACAATATAATCGTAGATATTTTTGATCAACAAAAGTAACATTAAAAATAATTTTTTATTAATAAAAACAATATATTTAATTATCAGCATAAATAATATTGCTCACTTATCATTGCTACTTATAAACTAAATGATGGATTGCCTTTGAGCACTTTTTGATCCAAAACTTTTAAATCTTGATTCCTTTTGTCTTTTTGATTGTTCCTTAACAAATATAATTTGTCGGATATAAATATATCGATTTATGACATTTTCCACGAAATAGCAAGATCCACCTGTTTCAATTGCACTACATCTTGTGATGCCATATTTTTCGAAAGGAACCCAAACTTTAATCATTTCCACTAAATGATGATGAAGTTAAGGATGTTTTACACATCTATCTAGGTGTTCTTGTAGATGTGCTTCCACGAGGGTTATATACTTCAAAAAAATATTTGAAGGATTCTCTAAGAACCCAATTGATAAAGCCTTCGTAAAAATCGAGTAACGATCGGTTTTGTTGGCAGTTAAAGCTGCGGCACAAGTACTGCAGACATATTTCTTACGGAAGACGTATGATATGGCACTGCCAAGCACATTATTTATAATATTGCATAGAAGAATATTACTAATTGGCTCGAGATCGTCATAGTTTTGCTCATCGCCATATATTAATGATGTCATGCACTTTTCTACTGGGATAGTAATGATAGGCTGCATTGATTTTTTCGCAGCTTTCAATGATCTAAAGAAATCGATGTAGTGATCATCATCATCATCCGTACAATTTTTTTTTGAGATGGTTGTATCGGTGAATTGCGATACACTTATCAAACGCAGGCATCTTTTTGTTTGAATAGCAGTAGGATGTGCACTGTATCTTCTGAGTATTGAAAATAAATTTTCAAGAGCATCCTGATTTACTCTTGTGGTAAGAAAAAATTCATAGCCTTCTTTGAAAAGCATATGAATCAAGTTCATACTATTTATACAGCTTGTTTTTATGCCAGTTTGAACGGACTTTCATCCTCTTCCGATTATTAAATTCTCGATGATTGATAGAAAGTTGTCAATATTTTTCATTGATTTCCTGAAGTTTGCCTTTCCAATTGCCTCGCTTGGATGCCTACCATTCATCGTATTAAACCAGGTATTCACCTCTCTTAGAAACCAAACGGTTGTTGATGCTTCTTTCTCCATTATGCCTAAAGTGATTAAAGTTTCCAATGCTGCTGCCGTTTTTAAGCAAAAGATATGAGCTGCTGCTGCAACATTCATCTTGTTGAACCCTGTTTGGTTTATAATGTCGCTCGTGATGTGTGGAGCAAGCTTTAAATCTTTACATCGTGATTGCACATCATACAATTGCTTTAAATAGCGAAAACGGATTTCATTGCATGGCAAATGATTAGCTTCAACAATACATCGAGCTAACGTAAAATATTCATTGTTGATAAATGCCATTCTCAAATTCTTCAATAAATGAGGACAATCCGGAAATATGTATAAATTATAATTCCTTCGCACTGGATGAGTAACGTATGGTGTATCGTTGTCCCTGTTGACTCGTATTCCGAGTCTTCTCCAAATGGCTTGATTCTTTGGTCCCATGTCAGAAACTAAACCATGAATCCTGTATCCTACAGCTTCTATCTTATTTATCAATTCCTTTATCAAGTCAGTCATGACATCATCATCAGCTGATTTAGTTGTTAAATGCCAGCCAATAATTTGTTTCCAATTGCTGGTCAAACCTCTTAGCATCACGACTACGACACATGTGCTCATAACTTGCTTTTCCTTACAAGTCTCAAATCCAATGAATGATCCTAAAGAGAACGTAGGAGAAAATTATAAATTAACATAATTTTTTTAAGACAGGATTTATTGCAAGAATAGTATCATATATACAAAATCAAATGAATTATTTCCAATTCATAAAGTAGTTCGTTATGTACAAGTTATTAACAACTTAAATATATCCAAAACTATATATTATATAAAAAATCCATTACCAAAACATAATAAGTTAGTTATTATTATGTTACGTACTTTTATCTGCCTTCATAATGTGATGATTTGACAGAATTTTTCAAATTATGGAATAGTCGATTTCACATATAAATATATGAAAGTATAGAGGTCATGTCTATATCCATAAGTTTTCTGATGATCAATATGTAGACAATCAAAACCAGAAAATTCTTCAGGAATTGAAGTTCTCGATGTAATCACCATAATTAACTGTACAGCAATTCATGTCAATTATTGTATATAAATATTTCAAATAAATAACATTAAAGTAAATTAGATAATATTAAACATAATAATAATACCTGTACTAATATCGTATTCCACAGAAGGCTGGATATCAATTAGCGCCACACAGTCTGCTTCAGAACTTGATTTGTGACTTTTTTTTTTTGATTCCATTAGGGATACCATATCATGCAAAATTCCTGGCTTGAAATCGAGTTGATTTGTATTTCTACAAATAGTTGAATAGGATGGCAGTGGAATCCCTAGATCTTTCCTTAAATAAAGGTATGCTTTCCATCCAACTAGAAAAAATATGAAAGAAATGTTATAAAATATATGATATAATATTCTATATTACAATATTATTTTAAGTTTATATTGTTTACCTGCATATCGAATTTGTGTAGCAAACTTCAAATTTTCGATTTTCCTCTTCAACATTTGATGGTGTGTTCAGATTTGATGATAAAGAATCAAATTCAACAGAATGGTTAAAATTATCTAAAAAAACAACTTTGTAAATTTATAGTTCACTTCTTCAGCTACTATAGTATTATAATTGAATAATTAATATGGAATTACCTATTGGTAGTTGGTTTTCTGAAGCAGGACAAGCTTCGGTAGAAGATAAACCATCTCCAGGTACAGGACCAATTTCACTAGATGTTTTTTGTGAGTTATGAAGGAAAATAGTTGGTACAGCATTTGGCTTCAACTTTCTCCATCCATCAGCACGATTTTGTTCATATTGTGTTTCATCAAAATGGAACTAAAAAAATGTTATTATGAATTACTAAAAGTTAGTATACCAATTTGATGTGGATATAAAATTAAATATCAAAATATATAAACAAATTCGTACCTCACACAATTTTGAAGATTCCTTAAAATTATCTTTTCCACAGTTTCGGAGCCATAAAAATTGTCGATTTTCATCACGTGGAAATCGAAACAATCTAATTTTGTTTTTCGAACTGCTCTGACAGTTTAGTGCATGGCACAAAACCATTTTGAATAATTATTATAGATATATAATGCAATTTATCCCACACTTTATTAACTTTTTTGCTTTCAAACTAACAAAAGACGCCACGCTTGAAATTTTACTGTCCTTCTCCATTCCATTTTCTCCCACCAAACACCCAAAACCCCAAAATGGCCGCCCGTGCGAAGACCTTACTTGGTCACCATCCCCTCTATCTATGGACCTTGCGTTGGCCGCTTGGCGCGTGCTTGTGCGACCGGAGTCGCCACAGCTACTCCCCCCCTGAGAAACTTTCGCCGGGAGGTTTGAAAGTGACTCGCCGACGGCTGTACGTCCGTAACGGTGGAGCCATGGCTGACGTCCACTGATGCGACTGCAGCTGAACAGGTGATCCTGAAGGAGACGGAGTGTCCGATGAGCTAGACCTGTGAATAGGTGAATCGTTTGTTACGGGTGGTGGGTGGGGTTGAGGAATCTCAGATGGTGTTTGAGAATTTTCAGGTTGAGAAGCAGATTCGGAGGTGGAAGGTTAAGGCTGTGGTGTCTGAGGTTGTGGATGAACTGTGTTGTTGGACTAATCCTGTTTGTTGGTGTAACACGGCTTGAGTCTATCTACGTAGATGTTCTGCCTTTGACCATTGACGTCAATCGTGAAGAGTCGATCTGTTAGACGTTCGATAACCTTGAACGGTCCTTCATAGGGTGGTTTAAGTGGTGCTCTGACCCGATCACATCGGATGAAGACGTGTGAGCAGACGTACAAATCTTTTAGGATGAAAATTTTTGACTTGACGTGGTGAGCAGTTGGAGTAGGTCGTAGACCGCGTGCAAATTCTCTATGTTTTTCTATGAACATTTGTGGATCTTGTAGTGAATCCTCAGCAATAAAGAATTCTCCCGGGATCC